TTTACTCGTGTGGAGTTTGGCGGGACGAGCCGAAGGCGAAGCAACCAACCACACGAGTAAAAAAAATCCATCCCAACAGTCCAGATATTATTTTTCCGCAGTGATTTTCAACTTCTGAAGTTTCATACTTCCCAGTATGTAGTATCAATTCCAGCACGAAAAATCGTGAGAAGCAGTACGGAAAAATTATTTTTCTAACTTAATTAAATTGTTAAACATAATACTTTCTATCGTCAAATTGTGAAAATCTCAATGTTTTAATGCAAGAAGAGAGCAATCGATTTCTCCTTGTGTAAGAACCTTCATATCTGGTTTTTAATAATTAATTTCCGGGAAGTTGTGAAGTGGTAAACTAGAATAAGTACATTTTTTCTTGGTCGGGCTTCAGTAAATATCTTAAGCTTCAAGGAAGATAGTGATTATTTTCATGATATCTTGTTTGTCGCTTTAATTTTTTCACCATCAAAGGCGTATGTGCTAAAATATCACTATCGTCCTTCAATTCTTATATTTCAGTTGAGAACTAGTTTGCCACTTCGCACTGATTTGCTGAACATTTTTTAACATACTACTCTACTATTGGAAAATTATTCCGAAAGGTCGCAGTAAAACTTTCCAGAGAATAATGATTCTCCGTATTTCTACATAGTCTTCATCATCTAAGAACATCAATCAGTGGCTTATTATTGTCATTTGTCAACGAATTTCTTAGTTTTATTTTTATTTGATTCTGAATTATTTACAACGTCTTGCATCTGCAAGAAAAGTCCCAAGGCATTGATGAGATTCAAAGAGGATAATTTTTTTATTCTTGGAAAGAGGATAGATTTTTTTTTTATTTCAGGAAAACTCGTATATACCCTTTTTTTTTGCAACATTGAAGTTGAGTCCGAAAAAGTGTCTGCTCGAGCTTTTTTTTCAACACACACCACGTGTCTGTACTGTGCATCTCTTGTCTCAAATCGAAAGTCCTTGAATGAACAAACAACACATGAACAAATTTTAGATACTCTCTTGACAATAAAAATGACATTCCTATCGTGTCAAATGAGTATCTAATAATTGTAGGAAAAAAAGGAATAGATAGATTAACGTTCCTAATGATACATAAGCTTCCCCCACTCATCGATTTATGCGATGTTCATTCAATCATGGAGACCATGAAAGTGAATGCAATTTGCTTGACATCGCTTACTTCCTTCTGTCTTCGTAAACTAAGGAAAATGAGAAGATTAAAAATTAAGGTTTGAAAACAAAACATTTTAAAAATTGATGAAAAAAAAAATATTTAGATGTAAGGTTTGAATTTAATGAATCGTGTAAAAGCTGCTGGGGCCTCCTGAGTTACGTAGTTTTGGTTGGACTGGCCAAATTGAAAGGACTGAATATGCTTAGAACTTTTAGTTTCTAAAATTCATTTTTAATCGTGGAAAGAATCAATTGGGTTTGAAATTTTATTTCACCTAAAAATCTCGTAATAAGGAGATCATCTCGTGTATATAAAATTTCACATAATAGTGATCTCTGTTAGGACCTAAAAATGATATTTTTGATAAGAATTGAGAGTTTTCTTCTCTTTATTTTATTCGGCAAGTGTGAGATTTTTGGGCTGATTTATTCGGAATTCCTGGTAATATGACAAAGGGAAAAGTGAGGTTTAGATGTGCAATCAAATAACATTTTCGCTACATTTTAAATCTCCTGAAAATGAGGAGTTAAAGAGGCGAAATTATTTAGACGCATAGTGCCTTCTCTTCTACAAATACTTAAAAATCTTAATTTTTATTTCTTCTGATAGATTTTACGTTACTCAGCGGACCCAGGAGGCATAGCTGGCACAGCGTATGAGTAAGGTAGTTTTTAAGTTCACTAATTGTTTTTTATAGTTCTTTTATATTGATTTTTTTTATTTGTTGACGCTCGTGATTGATCCACAGCAGTCACAAAATACCACTGTTTATTTCGATTTAATTACGGTACTTTTTATACTGTTAATATTAAATATGGTAAATGTCTAGTTTACATCCACCAAACCATTCTAGAAGTTTTTGATGTTGTATATTGAAGTGGATAGAATTCCGTTATCTGATTAAGGATCTGGAAAC